AGTGGATGATACTCTTGGACATAAAGATTCTTAGGTGGCGTCAGAACAAGTAGTGCAGTCTGACAGCTATTCACATTCTGGGCACAGAGAGAATGTGATAGAAGATGTTCTGTCCGGGGGGAAAAACCTATGGGAGGAAGCAATGTTGAACAAAATATTTCATAGGTTGTGTCAGTTTTTGGGGGACTCCCAAACTGAATCAGTTTCTCAGCAGAGGCAATCACCAAACTGTGAAAAGGAATTTCTCCACAATCTTCTTGTTTGGATATCTCATTAAATTAATGCACTTGTATAACAACCCATCATTCCAAATGGCACAAAAAGCATTGGTGATGGTGTCAGAGAGCAGAACAGAATTGTGCCTGATCTTTCCTCACTGACCATCAAGGGCTGATTTTCAGTCAATTAAATAGATCCCAATGGCTTTTAATTATCCTGGGGACCTCAGGAATTGTGACAAGGCTGTCAAGGGGGAGATCAGAAAAATTCTTGGTTAAAAATTCTGATAATCTCATGCTTACTATTGGGGAATCAATGCAGAATACTGGATTTTAAGAATAAATTATCACACTCTTGCTCAAAGAGTGGGAAAAAATCAACAAATAAGCTACAACAAACTTTAAGGGACTTTGTTCTGTGGACAAACTCAAGAGTTCAGAATATTCTTTCAGATGTTAAAACACTGATAATGTTTTTGTTATAAGAATGTTGCAGGTAGGCCTACTTCAGTTAAGATGCATATGTATTTTTGTTGTAAGTAGAAAGAAGTATTATATTTTGGAGTTGATGCTTTAGTATCTCTTATTTTTCTTGGGTGTTCATTTTGCCCCTTTTATACTGGTTAGCTGTGTTGTGTAAATTAGGGCAAAACTGTACCCTCTTGCAGAGAAACCTGGCAAGCAGATTATAGGGTTTAAAGGAGTCTCTGACATGAATCTTGAAGAATTTCCTTCTAATCTTCCTCTCAGGAGGCTCCTCTGTCCTTTCTTTTCTCTCAAGAATAAAGTTATTGTTAACTAGGCAACAGCATTTATGCAAACTCCTCCTGTGAGGTGTGGATGAAAAGCAAACTTTGATACCATATATTTGAAATTCTGATACCACACCTTGTGTCACAGCAAATATTGAGCAAGGCTATCAGATTCAGAGAGACTTGATCTCAAAAGTAATTTTGACAATAAAATAAAAAAATAGTTTTATGTAGGAAAAAGTAGGAAAAACACAGGATGTAAACCAAAATAGAAATGAAATAGAAATCCTGCAGCATTCTAACCAGGAAAAGGATTTAGGGGTTATTAGAAAAAAATCCAGCTTTGTGGATAGCTGCAAGAAATGGAAAATAGATTTCTAGGATGCACTAACAGAAGGATGGAATACAAATTATTTTGCTATTGTACTAGCCATTTTCTAGATACCATTTAGAAATGGAGGAAAATATATTATTGCCCTTATGTTTAAACCATAGGTATCCAAAAGGATGATTCCGGTATTTAAAAAATACTATTGAAAAAAAATACTATGAGCTATTTCAGTTGGAGCAGCAAAGAGTTTCAAAGTAACTTAACAGGAACTATTCAAAGCTGTTAAAAGTGTTTAACAAAGGGAATGAGTTCAAACTGTCCTGTCTGGTGAAAGGGTTAAAATAACTCAGGGATACAACCTAAAAATGAGGCATAAACAAAAAATTCTGGCAAAACCATAAGCATATTGAATAAGTTGCTTAGTAAGAATAGCGAATCAGATAGTGTAAATAAGTTTAAAAGACAGCTAGACATTTTTATAGAAAGAGAGGACTGAAGTATACAGCAGGATGGCGTCACTGAAATAACTGAATGGAGACATGCTTGTTTAGTACACAAGACTTATTGTTCCAGTGACTTTTTTAAAAGTGTGTGTGTTTTTTTTTCCATTGAGGCCAAATGTCTAGTTTTGATAAAAATTCCCTCATTTGCAGTTTCTCCCATATTTAATAGTATTCAGCCAGCGCAAAACAAAAAGTGCCATCTGTAGACTTCCCCTTCAAAATCAAACTTTCTCAACAGCAGATGTATTGGGGCTTTGCTCACCACTGTTTCTTTCCTTTGGTGGAAGCCGAGAAGTGAGTGGGTTGCGCAGATCCCCATATCCAGCCAGAAGCTATTTCTACCCTAGACATTTTTTTCATAAAATTTCCCATTTTGCTACCACTGTGTGGCTGTACAGGTGGTAGCATAAGTGTAGATCAACCACTGACATTTAACCACCCTGTCATTTAGACCTGCTCTGAGCCAGGTTAGATGACACAGTTGTTAACATATCAGTAACCAGTTCACACTAGTGTTCCCGCTGCTGCTACCATGGCTGGGCCAGGAGCTACACTTCAGATAGGAATGCTTGGAAATTATATACAAAAGTTTGCAGACACAAACTCAGGCCAACAGTTTCAAAACCCTAACATTAGGTTCCTGAATCCATTTAAGCACCGTCTGGTATTAAAAAGTGCTGAACACCTAATAATTCTAATTGACCTCAGATCAACAAAAGCAACAGCATTTTAAATCTATTTAAACAAACCCCACCTGGCTTAATTTTTTGTTACAAATTGATGGTTTTCCATCCTTGAGTGCAAACTAGAATGATGACAGAGCCAGTAATTCTGCTACCACTTTGAGCTCTGGTCTATACAGCTGGTTTTTGGCCACTCTTCCATTTCCTTTACCCTGGAAGTCAATTTTTCTTTATGGAAAACAAGACCATTTTCTTTCACTATCTTACTTGTCATACGTCTCCTCCACAAACTAGCCTTTTCATTCAAAAAACAAAACCTATTTTCTGAAGAGAAAGAATACACTGGTGCAGGTACAATTATTGAGCCCAATACTGCTTGCATTAAAATCAACAGTAAAACAATCATTGATTCGGTAGGAAGAGAATTTGGCTTTTGGGCTTCATTCCTGCAATGATCTCTGCATGGATGAACCTGTGTGTCCATATGAAGTTCAGTGAAGGTTTGGAACCTTAGTCTACATAACTCTACCATCCATTTTGTTACTGAAGAACTCACAGGAAACAACAAATGAATATCATTACCCTTTTTAATTACATTTGAAAAATAGCTCCCTTTGCCATCTCTATGTTTACATTTTATTTATTGTGTAAAACCCCCCAAAACAGATTTACCTAAATGCTTCCTGCTGATATTCAGCAACAGATTGCACTTAACATTCATAGTTCAATTTCTGTATAAAAAGAAACTGAGGAAGTAATATGAGCCAATTGCATGAGTAGTTTTTTGATTAATAGGACCCCTCATCCAGATATGATGACAAATGCAAACTTCTGAATAGCTCTTTGCATTATTACAAAAATAAGCAATACAAATGGTTGACTAAATTTGTTTACTAGTCTTTTTGTAATCTGACCTGTACCTGGGTTGATGTGTATAACATGTTGCTGCACAAAATGCAATACAAACTGTCTTTTAACCCTTTTCTAAAAATGCACCTGTTTTGTTTAGATTATTAGAACATAACTTTCCTAATTCTACTTTTTTTTAGTCTTTTGGAATTCCATTGTACTTTCAGGTTACCTGTTATGTTGAAGCCTGGAGACCCTGTCCTCTGTTTTCTATACAAAAACTGAGAAACTTAGATCCATGTTCAAACAGTTTCTTTTTTTTTTTAAAAAAAGTCCAGCACTGCATCTTTATACAGATCAATGTCCAATTATAAGCAGAGTCACTGTGGTAAAAGGTCAGGGAAAAAAATAATCTTTCTGGCATTTATTACTTGGAAAACAAGGCCTTGTATGAGGTCAACCCTCCAATACACACAGAATAAATTATACTGCAGCATTATAAATATTGTACACAACAAAAATTATATTGCAATCTCAACATGATCAGAAAAATGAAGTAGAGCATGTATTTGCTGATGAATGTGCTACAGATCAGACTGTGCTAGAGGCAAAAATCTAGTTCCAATTAATCACCAATTAATAAAAAGCTTATAATGTATTTCTGCTTAATTATAAATATAGCTTCTCATTAAGAATGACTTAATTAATCAATTTTTAAATATCCTTAACATTGTGAATCACTTTCCACACAACAGAGTAAAATGACTAACAGATATGTGACAGTAAATTCAAAAGAATTCATTTGTTCATTTCCTCATTGCTTTTGAGACTACAAACAAAACACACAAACACACATGATGCTGGAGCATTCAGTTTGGCTGACATTGTTAGGAAATGTCATATTTCTTTTGAAATAGAAGATATAATTAGTGAAAAGGCATAAAAAAAATGAATTGGACACAGACTTTGAGGCAATAAACATGCTTATTTATCAGAATGTATGCTTATAGAGCATTGCCGCTGTCCTAGTATAAATCATTGTAGCAGCTTCACAGACACTTATCTGCGTCTTTCTTAGGGTGTGAATGAAATGATTATACTGAAAATCATATGATGCCATTATTTGACACTTCGCTTCTTATATTGCAATGAATAGTGAAGTCAATGTTACAAATAGGAAAATATAGCCATGAACTGAAAATTTCTTCTGATCCAGTTTTTTGTTTTTTTTCCCCCCTGATATCCCAGGTCTTTTCTTAAACCTCACTCCAAACTATGTAAAGAATGGAAATGACTGGATGTTATTTTGTCTGTTGTTGTAATCATATCTAATTTCAATTTTCAAGGCATGCCTAGGCAGAAAGACTGTACACTATACATTTATGGAAATGTCCATGCAAACAAAGTATACTCTAATAGTTTTGGAAAAATACTAATTTTTAATGATTTTTTAAATCTTCTTTGGAATAAAAAAAAGGCTATTGCAGTTTCATGTTTATACTTAAAGATATTGAACATTCTTTGCTCTGGGCCAAGATTTACTGTTTCATCTGATAGTATTATCAATGGGCTATTCCACCATGATAAACTCCAACTGTAGCACTAATAGGTTTATAATGATTGCTTAAGCTTTACACTTTGTAGGCATTGGAAGCTTCACTCACCTTGCTCAAGTGGCTGGCTTTTAGTTGAAGTAGTTTTCATCTTGAGTGCCTCCCTAACAGACATGTCACAGCAGGAGCCTTTGTTAGTGTCTTGGTCACTGTCAGCCTGATCACTGTCCCCATGCCCGCTGTCCCTCAAGCTGGCTCTTTCTGGGTCCTTGAACGTGGAGCTACTGAAATACATATTTAAAAAAAAGAGAGAGAGTTGTATTTACTTGTTCCAATTTGAATTGTACTCTCTGGCAAAGCAATTTTGACAAGAATGCAAATGGGGAAGCCGAGAAAGTTATTTAATAGGCCTTACCTTTGAACAAACTGCTGCCTGCTGCCCATGTAATTGGGCTCTGCGGGAAAATTGTCTGTCTGTGAAAGAGAAGGAAAAAAATACGTATAGTTGTACACTGGACAAATCTCCTGCAGAGCAACAAGATTTCCTAGAGGAGAAATGATTAATAATTCAAAAAAATCCCTTAATCTTCAGATTTGTACATTTTAATTAAATTGGAAAATGCTGGCATGTAATTATGTACTCAGAACAATTAAATGATTCCGGTCCACAAATTACCTGCTAAAGTAAACAATGAGGCTCCAATAAGTGGTATTCTCTGTCAGTAACCTGACAGATGACACTGTTTATGTTTTTTCATTAGTTAGATATTAAGACTGATGGTTATTAGAGAGGAAAGAAAAAATTACCCAATTTTTGCATCTTACAAAAGTGGATTATTCAATAATACTCATTTTTAACATAGTTACATCATCTACTGGGATTCTGACGCCTTTATTGCTGAATACAATTTCATTTAAACTAGTACATTGCTTTTGAATTGCAAAAAAACAGTTTAAGAATCTTTGTGTTTGTGGTTTATGGGTCTTTTCTTTTAAATATTACTGGAAACAAATGCAAGCATTATGCATATATTTGATTTTGTCTCTCTAATTCATTCTCATCAGTATTAATAGCTGTTTCTGAACAATAGGGAATGCATGCACACAATAACATTAAATGATTGTTGTTGCCAAACATTTTTTAAAAAGAAGATATTTTATAAAGTCTGTGACTAGTGTATTTTTAGCAGTATGAGCTAAGTAACTGTAGAACAGGAGTATTTACAGCATCCAGACTGACATGGAGTTCTGCCAAAGGGAACTGAATTCCCCTTGTATCATCAACTACAGTTCTTTTGGTGAAAGAGAGAGAAAGAGACTGTATCTTTCATAAAACACCATATACTATACATTCATACACGTCACTTCTTCTTGCAGCTGACTTAGCGACAAAGCTTCTACTGTTTTCTGAAACACTTCATATCACGCCATTATGCTCCGCAGCAATGAGTTCTGGAACAGCATCTAGCGCATAAGTATCAGTAACACAGGGAGCACTCAATTAACGAAGCAGAAGGCCCAAGGTAAGGTTTAATGTTGCAGGACAAGTGTTTACATAAATGACTAGTCTCTTAAATATTTGTTTTCCCTATTCGCTCCCAACTTAATTTCTTAGGTTTGTTTATTGTTATGTGCAACTGATGAAGACCCACTGTAATAAGAATGATTTGCTGCCGTTTGTAGGGTGCATGGGAAGTTTGGGAGAATGTGACCCTACATCTGAAATCTATTCTTCTAAGTTACTTGCTGCAACCAACTATCAAACATCTATCAGTCTCCCAGTATATGCAAAATAAACTTAGCTATATAACTTGTGGTGGGTTTTTTTTAAACTACAGATTATTTGGGGGGGAAAACTACATTCTCTCACCCACTAATTAAAGAAGAGTATTTATTCTGTGGGTTTTTTCCCCCTTACTGCTTATTAACTCTTTGGCACAGACAGCTGGTACAGTATTACCAGGCATTTTGTATTAACATTTGAAGCAGTTTCAAATTTCAGATTTGAAATGCACCACACTGTGTATGTTGATTTAAAAATAATCTGATTTTGCACATGTGAGAGTTTTCTTTTAAGAGGCGTAGCAATGCAAATCATATGTCTGACAATAGAATCAGACTTTTTCTCCTCTTTTTTCAAAATAAAATGTTTTAGATTTATGTCTCCAATTCATTGTTGTAGCCTCAAATCTTCACAGTGCTTTTCAAATATAGGGGTTTATATATGCATATAGCAACTGATTTTATTCAGATGTTAGAAGGTAAAAGGGAATTCTGTTGTGGGAAATATCATATTCTTAGGTATAACCTAAGAAAATGTAGTCTAGAGAACTGGAACTTTGGAATTATGGGTTCTAATCCCAGCTCTTTCATTGGCTTTTTTTGTGACCTTAGGCAAGTCTCTTAGGACCAGATTTTCAGAAGTGCTCAGTTCTCACTATTGAGGCTAGATTTTGAAAAGTGCTCACAGTAGGAGCTGTAGGGAGTTGAGCACTTTTGAAAATCCAGCCACTTCATTTAGATGCCTAAACAGAAGCAGTTTGGTGCTTGGCCCTTTTGAAACCTGATCCTTAATATCTACTATCAAAAAAAGCCTCTGTTAGCTTTTTATTTCTATTAAGCTTGCTACTTAACATGCAGGCTGTAATGTACATATATCAATGAATAGTACAGTTTTAAAAATTAGTTATTTAAAGGAATTAAAATAAAAATAATGGAATGGGGGAAGGCAGATAAACTGTAAAAGTAAATACTTATGTTCTCTCTTAAATGTTCACGTTAAATACCACATAACATATCCCCAAAACAACCTTAATTCTGCCCCCATATCCTGTTCAATCTCAGCCTATAGACCAGAAACGCTCTTATACTTACCCAACCTACAGTATATATATTCTGAAAACAGTCTACCACTGCTCACAAATCACAGCTCATCCCACTATTAACTATTATTGGCCAGAGATGCCAACCTCTTGCTCTTATCTTCAATAATCAGACATTTGCCTCTTCCTAATCCCAACGATCTATTATGTTCAAGAGACCACCCAGAATCAACACTGTTCCCATCTATCATTCCACTATGAGGCAAAAAGCCAAAGTTACCTCATCCAGTATATTTATATAGACTGGATAGCTCAATATAATTTCCTTTTTTATCTTCCTAAAGTCAAAGATGCTACCTTACAGATACAGGCCAGATATTACATTTAGCTCAATCCACCTTACATCTATGCCCATGCATTGTAATATTCTGTTCAAACTTTCTGTCTAGATTCTTGGAACTGCACCAATCATCACACCATCTGAATCATACATATCCTCCCAAGGGATAATAACCAAATCACAACAGGCCATTTCTGCAAACTTCTCACCCTCCTTCCTCCGAGGCACTCAGGGTTATGATATTTAAATTAATAATAATAATAATAATAAACAATTAATTTCCTTTCCTTCATCAAGGCTTGCACATTACTTACTTATATAAAGGAAGAGAGATAAAGTAGGTCTAGAACATATTATTACACTTTCATTTGTAATCCGTGGGCCAGTGCCAATGGTATACCTGGGGAAAGGGTTTAGATGGCTTTTCTCCATCTTTCCCTTCCAATCCTGGGATCATCTGAACGTATTTGATCACTGGTGCAAGACAGAGCAAGCCATGTTACACTGTTTTGTACTTGCCCCATAACAGTATTGCCAGTATTCTCGGAGCAATGTGTGTTCTGGCCACACCCCCTTCAGTCTCCAATACCAAGGGGGATAGCAACAAGGTGTATACAGTAGGCTATACCAGATTTGTATCACCTGGGGATTTGCCTACTTAAGGGGAAACCCAGTTGACTGAGTGAGCAAGCTGTCTGCTTTCTGCTGCCAGAGAATCACAGAGGAGCTGGAGGGTGGGGTGGCAGCGAAAGGATTTAGAACTAAGAGTTATAAAATGTCTAATGTTGTAGGTGTTATGGTGTAAAGCATAACCCTGCTAGATGGATGACAGTTCGGTATACGGCAGCAGAGTTAAAGTTGTTTTTTGAATATTAGATGTGACTTTTATGAACAAACATTTATTCAAGAGGCTGTATGGAGTGAGTATTTGATTATTTACTTCCCATTTCCATTATTTTCATTTTTTTGTGTGTAAACTAACATTCTTTTGCATACATACATTTGAATTTAAATGCTAAAGTGAATTTTAGCTGAAAATACTTTTTCTATGCCAAGTTACAAGGGGTAAGAAAAACAGGGTTCATAATGGAACCCTAATTGCAATCTTAACTATGGAGCTGCTACCATGAAGCTCCATATTCAAAGTAAAGGTTAATGACCTGTAACTCAATAATAATTCAACTGATTTTCTTCATATTATACTTAGCAGAAAAACAAACAGTTGGGTGCCATCCTACAATAAGTCCATTGTTACAAAAGAACACACACAATTACTAGATAATCTATGTATAGTTGCAGAACTAAGTGTAAAATCCTACTCCTTCAACTCCAGAAACATAGACTTTTACCACTTAAGCTTGGAAACTCCCTACCAATGATGAGCTACAGCAGGGCACTCTAAGCTAGAGGACAAAATCCTTACATACACTATCCTTACACAGGGGCGGCTCCAGGTACCAGCGCAGCAAGCGCGTGTCTGGGGCGGCAAGCCGCGGGGGGCGGCGTGTCAGTCGCTGTGAGGGTGGCAGTCAGGCAGCCTTCGGCGGGACTGGCAGATCACCTGCAGAAACACCGCCAAATCCGCATGACCAGCGGACCGCCCGCAGGCATGCCACCGAAGGCCGCCTGACTGCCGTGCTTGGGGCGGCAAAAAACATAGAGCCGCCCCTGTCCTTACATACACTGTAACCATTGATAATAAATACTAAACATTAAGCTTTGAGGCAGAGATTTTCAAAGGTGCTTAAGGGAGTCAGGTTCCCAACTCACACTGATTTAAATGATTTGGGTGCCTAACTCACATGGGTTCTATTGACAATCCCAGCCTAAATGAGCAAACATTAAAAAAAAAATTTAAAATGTAATACTGATGAAAGTTGATACGAAATATTTTGACCAAACTTCATCTTAAATATTTTCAGCAGACGTATTAGTCATACCGCTTTATACCACACAGCTGCAGTTCTAAGCAATGTATGGCTTTTGAAAAACCTAGCACCAGCAAAAAGCATTTTGTTGCACTCTGACTACCCAAAACCTTTCCATGTTATTAGCTGCAGATATTATTAGTGGTATACTGTATGCCCATATTCCTTGCTAACTTTTGAACTCATTTACATGTAACACACTCATTTATAGAGTTTTATTGACTGTAATGGGATTTTAATTACTTGAGTAAGGACTATAGGATAAAATCTCAAGTGCCACTGGTATCACACAACCAGAGTAACAGAGTCAAACTTTAAGACTCAGTGGCATTACAACAGCAGAGAATTGAACAGGCAGATAGCATTACCCACCTTCCCACCAAG